CTGGACAGAAGTCTGAGGGTGGCTTCACCTCCCAGGATTCGGGTCTTCTCCTGCCAAGCAGCTGGCGTGTGGCATCCATTTTGCATCATCTGATGAGCCAGGACACCTGGCTGCAGTATTCTCACTTGCCCTGTGTCTGGGATGTCCTCAGAAATCAGTGAAAATGAGTTAATGACTAAAACTTGGTCTCTGCTTCTTTATAATTAAGTGTGTAGTTTCTCTAAGGACCAATGATAGCTTGCTTATACAGTGATGCTGGATTTCTTTTTTTGCAATTCAGTATAGCAAAGATTTTATAGTCTCTGCTTCTTTCTGAGACAATGAGCTTAGATCTGTAGCTATAAAAGCAAACTTAACAAAGATCTAATATGAAAAGTACCTTCCTTTCTCCCCCCCCACCCCACCCCCACTCCCCGCCTTTAGGGAATTTGCATTCTGCAGAGAATGGAGGAGTAAAACGTACAACTCCTTTTCGGGACACTGTTTAGGAAGCTCAGGAATGATGCTTAAATATGTTTCAAATTATTTAAGCCAAAAAAAAAAAAAAAAGAAAGAGGAGACCTGGACACCTTGAGACCTTTTAAAATATGGCAAAGAAATGCTGCTTTCTATATGGCTGGCTCTCAAGGAACCAAAATAGGAAATAAATGTCTTGCATTGCTGCTAATACTCAAATCATTTTCCAAACTGTATGTGCAGGAAAAAAGTGGGCGTTTGATACAGTGAAGGGGAAGTGAATGAGAGTGTGAGTATACAGAACCTGGTGCACTGAACAGTCCTATCATCTGGTGCACTGAACAGTCCCGTCATCCAGTATATTGAACAGTCCCGTCATTACTGAGTTATTTAGGTATCTGAAGCCATCTATCTAGACGTCAGGGGAACTGGAGTTATAGACAATTGTGAATAGCCATGTGGATGCTGGGAATTGAACCCAGGTCATCTGGAAGAGCAGCCTGTGCTCTTAACCACTGAGCCCTCTCTCCAGCCCCAGGTCTTTGCTCCTTACAGTAATTCGTAGAGAATAGTATAGCCAAAGGCAGACATAGCTACTTACACTCACTTTATCATGCCATGGGGGTGCTACAATGTATCTATAAACAGTTCAAAGGTTCAGGGAGAGTGGGAAGTCTGACCTGAAACGGGTTTCCGTTCCTTATCATTTTGACAGTTACAGAACTCCAGAGAAGGGGTTTTCTTGTCTAATTATTTCTAACCTTAACCTTCAGGGAGTTGGTCCTTCTCGAGATTAGAATGTACTAAATATATCCCGAGGAAAGGGTGCAGTACCCTGTGGGTGAAGAGGGTAGGAGATGTGAACTCTCTCCCTTTATTTGGGATAGCAGAGGAAGGTGCAGGAGAGGGCAAGAGCTGGAAGGAAGGACAATAGTCCCAGCTGGGAGTCAAAGCTCCAGGAAGCATGCTAATGTCACTTCCATGGGGACAGTAGAGACAGTATCGCTCCCACCCAGATGACTGAACTTGGCCTCAACACAAACTATTAACTGAGCCCAAGTCCCAGCCAGTGGCCCCTGAGACCCAGAGAGCTATAAATAGCCCCTCAGCACTGCTGCTCAGTGCTTATCACCATTAAGTGGAAGAGTGCATTCCCCAAATGCCTAAAAATAAATGCAAAAGGGACTTCCAAAGGATATGATTTATTGAGCTTTTAGGATCAGACAAACAGTCCAAAAGTCCCTGCAGAAAGCTAACTCCCTGACCTTGACACTCTTACCTATCTCGGTGATTCTTACATGCTCTGATTTCTCAAGAACGATGCATGAAAATCAGCTATCTCCTGCTTGGAAATTGGCGATAATCCGTGTTCTTACTTCCCAGTGGCAGTCCTTATGATGTCATGAGTGAACAGCGTGATGCGGAAGGAAGAGAACCGTGTGCCCGTGCACACCTGCTTCCCCCCTACCGCCTACCCCCCCCCCCCCGAAGCCGGCACCTAGAGCTGCAGAGTCCCACAGCTCCCAAGCTATCACAACAATTACAAAGGACCAAGACTGCTTCCCACCCAATGACCCAACCACCCCTAAACAGGCACCACCCAGCCTCAAAGGTCTCCCTTACCTGCCACTCACTCCTCTGAGCTGCACGCATTAGAATGAAATATGTCTTGTTTCATATGTAAATTCAATGCCAGAAGCTAAGATTAGGAGTGATTTTACCTCCATAACTCACTCTCAAGTAGAGACAAAGGCCAGTCGTTTACAATATGGGGCTAGGGACTCAAAAATACTTCTCAGAATTAGCAATTACTTTTTCATTGTCCGCAGAAGACCTCTGGGTCCTTGATGCTTGTGTATTTCTGGATGTCCTGTACATTCTATATCCAGTTCTACTTACAGAGCCTGTTTGCCATTAATATTTTTAGCAAGCAGGGAACTTTCATTTATGCCTCAGTTGTCCATCTAGGGGAAGGAAGAGTGACCTCAAGATCTCTGGCAATCTAATATGTTATGATTCATTCACTTTATATAGACAATCCTTAATATTCTGGTGAGTAATTTCCAAAGCGTTGTGGGAGATTGTTGAGTCACACTGGAATTAAACGCAATTATGAGATTGGAGGATAATGACATCTCTACGGGTAAGGCTGGACCGAGGCAGGTGTGGGAGGAAGGGGAGGAGGAGATGTGATATGAGAAAGCCATAATCAAACTCATGGAGATGGCACGTCTTCGGACAACAGGCGAGATTAGGCAGACTATCAACACATGGCCAGCTGCAATCGGAAATGTGACTCTTACCAGAACTGCCCACCATTCCATTGGCAGAAGCCTCGGAGCAGTGATGACCATGGATTGCACAGGCTTTTGGGTGAATCATCAATGCCCGGGTGCGATTCAGCTTGGCAGCCAAGACTGGTGATGTGAACCTTTCAGACCATTCAACAGATAGATGATGAATGCCGGAACACGTTCCAGAAGCCTCCCTTTAGTATCCACAAGTAAAATGTCCTAAGATAGTATTCCTAAACCCTCACTGGTAGATCTCAGTTGAGAGACTCACCCCCAGAACATTTGAGGAGTAAATGTACCCACTGTAAATAGTCAAGGACAGCTGCATGGGCCCCTAATGCAAGAATAATGGAAACTCCCAGGAGAGAACCAAGGACAGAGCAAAGAAGTCTGGGAGTTTTGGACTTCGGTGTGGAATCCCAGAGCAGCCTCCTGCCAACTCACACCAAGCAGGAGTGACCAAGTCTTCTAATGAGAGAGGGTAGCTCTGAGCCAGCAGAGGATACTGTCCTCCTTTGGTGTGACCTAGGCTGGCTTCCTAAGGTGTCTGGGGAGGAAAGTGCTCTTTCCGGCAGCCTGCGCTGACCTTCCAAGACGTTAGGCAACCTTAGCCCTCTAAAGGCAGCTCGGTTAAGAGCTTGAGGCCTGGTGTATTCTACAACAACACAGAACATGGTTCCCAAGCCCCACTTGCTGAAAAAGCATCACATGGAGTGTGGAATCCAAGCGTGTATCACTTTCTAAAGCAGGCTAGTAACAGCACCTTAACAAATGAGTGAGAGCAATTCAAAGAGGACACATGGTTCACAAGTTGAAGTTAAGATCCCCGAAGCCACACATTTCCTTTCCAACCCTCAGTTATCGGGAAGAAAAAAATCTTTTTGAGATATTTTCTCACCAGTGTGGAACTCATAGCAATCCTCCTGCCTTGGCTTCCCAATTGCTAGATTATAGATAGGCATGTGCTACCAAACTGAGAGCTGTCATTCTCAAATAGTTCTGCTTTTAGGTCCTCAATACCATTGGACTAACCACTGTTTACACCTGTATTTTGTCTGTATCAACTTCAAATAATAAGTATACCTTCCTACATTGAATGGCCTGCAGTCTGTCACGCTGTCTCTATCTCTCCACGTCTGCTTTTCACCTTCCAATAGTTTTAGGTTACACTGTCATTTTAAAAAGGTTTACTAGTTGAATGTATATAGCTTTAAATAATATGCATTCCCTTCCCATTTCTTGACTCCTTGGAGTTGGCCATTCACAACACATTTGCAGTCAGTAAGATGAGGAAAGGTACATAGCCATGAACCTCAGTCTCCGTTCTTTCCCTCTCCCAACTAGCCAGCTGATCAATATCTACCATGAAAATAGATATTCCTAATGACTAGAACTACTGAAATCTCTTCTGCCAATACTCAGTTGGTACTGGACTAAGACAATGCAGGTTATGGGCCTTAGCCAGACCCCCCCCCCAAAAATTTTTGACAAAGGAAGGAGAAAAAAGAGGAAGTAAAAGCTAGAAACCAATATATCCCAATGTCACCACATACTCTTTAAAAGGTCGGTTGAAGTTTCTCAGCATCTGTACATGTGAAAATTTATCTGAAGCCCTGGGAAAACTCATGGAGCTTAATCTTGCCCGCACATATGCACACCAGTTCCTGCCTGGCACTACGCAAACAGAGCATCAGGAAGATCTCATACCATTCTACAAGCTCATGCTGGCCCCTTCCATGTGTCAGGCATTGTGCAATAAACTCAGAGCTCAGCAGGGAGTAATTGAGCTGGAGCCTTCAGGAGTCCAGCCAGCGGTGGAATCAGACAGCAAATAGTTCCAGTCAGTGAGGAGATGGGAGAGCAGGAAGAGATACCTGGCTTGCACAGCTGCTGTGGAGAGAGGCCTCTCACTCAGGAAGATGGAGCCAACTTGAGAAACAAGGATGGAGACCTGGAAAGGCGACCCACAACAACATGCGCTGGTACCACAAGTGCTTCCATGCTTCTGGAGCACAACCCACAGCAGGAGTCAGGCTGTCAGAAGTCCTGAGGTTCAAATCCCACCTCTGTCCCATGCCTCCTGTGTGACCCTGAGGCTGATACTGAACTTCTGTAACCCTCAGGGTTTTCCTCAGAGTGTTCAGAGGATACGGGGAACCAGGCATTAGACAGACTTTATTAGTGAAAAAAAGCTATACTTCTAGGAGAATGAGGATAAGGAGAGTAACGGACAACTCTCAGCATACACCATACTGGTGAACAATTTATTTCTCCTTTGAAGAATCAGAGTCGATTGGACTTGACAGCGGAAAATGGATTAAACTATGTTATGTGTTCCAAGTCTCCTCTAAAAAATAATCACTTGTTTTCCTTTATTCTTATCAGGCACACGTAGTAAGACCTATCATGTGTGAGACTTACAGGCACCTTATGACCATCACTTCCTGATACTAATGGTGTCAGCCAATCATCAATCAGTTTGCTAGTGACTGGGGTTAGGGAGATCATCTCCACAGTTTCACCAAGGTAGAAAATGATGGTGGGCTGAATCTCTTCAGGTTTGTTGTTGTTGATGGTGGTGGTTGTGTGTATATGTGCATGTGCGCACACATACATGCGGTCAGGCTTTTACACTGCTGTTGGGGGTTTGAACTCAGGTCCTCATGCTTAGACAACAAACCTTTTACCCACTGAGCCAACTCCCTGGTCTCCATCTTTGTAGGCTTTTGGTTTTGTGTTGTCATATATTTGTAAATGAAAATATCTATTTTGGGCAGCCTTTCAAGAATTCAATCAAACAATGGCATGCACGAAGGTATAACATGAGGGCCAGGGAGACTGTTAGCTGGCTGGCCTTGTTGCCTCTCTTCTTTAGAAGTCTCGTTCTCATTCCACACTAAATACTGCATATCTTTTCACAAGCTGGTAAAAATACCAACTAGTGAAGGTCAACAAGAGCTCATCTCCTGGCAAGTCAAGACATGGCTGAAGACACACTAGGATTTCTGTTCACTGCAGTGCGCCCACGATTCTCTGGTCTTCAGGTATCAGCTGCAGCCGCCTCTCCACGGCAGAAAGTCAGTGCTTAACAGTAATGGTTTTTATTTCAGTGAAGAAGTCGTATGAGTCCTTGGCTCCTTCTCTTCCTATTCCAGAGCTCTTCATCCCCCCAAAGGGCAGGTTCAGTTCCCTGATGAGCCAGCAGTTGGTCCAGACCAGCCCTGCCTGCAGCTTCTTAGCTACCCTGTGGATGCGACTCACATTACTTGACCACACGGTAGCTGCCAGTCCATACTTAACACTGTTAGCTCTTTTAATCACGTCCTCTTCAGTGTCAAAGGGGACAACGCATGTCACTGGACCAAATATCTCTTCTTTCATGCAGCAGGACTCATCCTTAACATCTGTTATCACTGTAGGCAACATGAAGTAGCCTGCCTGGTTCCTGAGTGGGAGGCTCAGCTGGTCTACACCCTCACCACACAGAATCTGGGCCCCCTCCGCACGAGCTTTCATTACATAACTTCTGACCTGAGGAGATAAAAGCCATAATTACAAACCTCTTACCATTTGGCATTTTACACACATCAGCAGAAAAATCAGTATTTTCTAGTGATTGAAAAGCCATAGAAGGTCACTGCTAAGGGCTGCAGGGTTATTGTCACTCAGGCTGCAAAATCTAAGAGCAGAGGAGTTCCCAACAGAGCTTGCATATTTAGTCTTCATGCAAAGAGCAGGGAGATTATTTCATGTCTAAGTACCAGGCACTAACATAAGTGATTTCATGCATTGTCACTTAATTCTTTCTACACTCGCCTCATTGTGACTCAGAAAGTATGTAGGGTTTGTGCAGCTAATAAACAATAAAGCTTAACTCACACTCAGGCATATGCTGTCATTAGGTACAAAACTCTGTGTGTGTGTGTGTGTGTGTGTGTGTGTGTGTGTGTGTGTGTGTGTGTGTTTTGTAAGGGATAGAGGTATGTTCATTGTAAGAAGTTGGAAATTCCCTATAATGGGGGTGACGATGCTTACTAGATACCACAGGCTAACACCTAAAATGTCCAGCACCAGGAACAGATTAACTCCATTGAAGTTACTGGTCAGTGAGGTCTCATAAACCCCCAAATATTACAGACAATTGCCTTTACTTTTGGTTATTCTCTATAGTGTAACCCTATTACTGAAGATATCACATATTTGTATCATAGAACATGGAGAAAAGAAGCTGTTTTTTCATGTGGAAGCTTCACCCCTATTGGCTGGCTTTCATAGTCATAGGAAGTGCTATGCACCTCAAGAGAAGAAAAATAATCATACTATTATCCAGCTGTGAACCCTGCAAGCTACAATAACAAAAACATACCCAGACAGATATGTCCATTGGTACAATATTGGCATAAATATCATGGGAGTAACCAACCATCTTCTGGTTGGATTTAATGTCTGCTCTACAAAAAAGGAATCCTTACCTGATACCAGTATCAGAGCCAAGAACCTGTGGCTAGACAAGCCATTGGACCCTGGGGAGAACCTATTATCATTATTATTCTGTTAAAGAGACATAACATAGGATGAAACTGACTCTTAATGACTCTTAATGATTTATTGTTATACCATAAATTAGTACATCTCTCATGCCTCCTCATAAAGCTTTTTTTTCAGAAGATGGTAATTAACACAGAGATCCACAACTGGTTATAATGCCAGGAATAAGAGACCAAAGAGTGCTCAACCATACGTGGGACATCCATCTCACACCACCTCCTTAGGGATCTTTGTGGAGGAGGGGAACAGAAAGACTGTAAGAGTTGTAGATGACTACAAAGAAAACATTTTCTGGAAAAAAAAAGGCAGTTGCACATAAGAACTCCCAGCCTCTCTGTGACAGCATGCACAAGACCTACATTAGCTCTAGCCAGTCAAAATTCCAGCACAGAAGGCAGAAGTGAGCACAAAGTCCCATCCCTAGCTGAGTACCTATAGGTAAATGATAGCTGCTTGGAGAGGGAGAGTTAGCTTTCTGAAGGGTGTGGCTCTGGTAGATTGGCCACACTCCTGTGGACAGCCACATACCCACGAGTACATAGTATCACACTGGACTTGATGGGGTAAAAACTGCAGACACAAATGTGGGTGGCTATGGGATGGGGTAAAAACTGCAGACACAAATGTGGGTGGCTATGGGATGGACATAGAACGTGGAAGGACTGGAATTGGGGGAGAGGGTGAATATGATCAAAACACAATGTATGGATTTCTCAAAGACATAATAAAAAGTATTTTAAAGAAAGTAGAAAAATGATATGTAAGATTTAAAGATCCAGATGTCTTCAGTATTGTGGCTTCCAGGAAAAGAAAGATCTCTAATTTCTAGTCTTATTACTGATTATACTCTAAAAATAAATGTAGGTAATACAGTGTAGCTGATTATAATGTAAAATAAATTACGTCATAAGCTAACTCAGTGACTCAGAGATAATGACATGAGTACTTTCTTGAACAGAGGCCGGGTAATTGAGTTTATTTTCCATTTGGAGTCCATGCTGATTCATCCCAGCAAGAGAGTTGTATAGAACTCATGCATTTAGATCCAATTCCAAGTACTTTAAGCCAAGCACCAAAAAGAAACTTTTCAAGGAAAATGGGTACCTTGAGTTTGTGGCATAAAGTTCTGGAACCCATAACACAGTGTTACTCACAAAGTGATTACTCTTCCAATGAATACTATCCACAACTGTGCCTCTTGAGGTTTTATAGTCTCAGAACACAACAATGAATAAGCTTGACCACTTTCTGCTCAAAGGAAGTACGGGTTATGCGTTGGCAGGGATAAGAATCATGGAGAGAGTTGGAAAGCTGGCTCAGTGGTTAAGAGCACTTGAAGATCTTGACAAGGACCTGGGTTCAGCTCCCAACACCCATGTGATGACTCACAGCCATCCCTAGGATCCAATGCCCACTTCTGGCCTTCTAGGGTGACAGGCACGCATGTGGCGCCAGACACACATGCAGGCAAAACACTCATGCACATAAAATAAGCCTGAAAAGGAAACAAGGGAAAGCAAAGCACTGGGGAGTAAGGGGAAGCTCTGAGGAGTGTTTTTTTTTATTTTTATTTTTAAATTTAAATTAGAAACAAGGTTGCTTCACATGTCAATCTTAGGTCCCTCTCCCTTTCCCTCCCCTCCTCCCAAGCCTTCCCACCAACCCCCCATGCCCCCTCATTTCCCCTGGGAGGGTGAGGCCCTCCATGGGGGTGTCCATAGTCTGTCATTTCATCCAGGGCAGAGCCTAGACCCTCCCCCCAAGAGTCCAGGCTGAGAGAGCATCTCTCATTGTGGGATGGGCACCCAAAGTCCATTTGTATGCCCGGGATAAATTCTGATCTACTACCCAAGGCCCAATATATTGTCTAGGCCTCCTCACTGACACCCCCATTCAGGGGGTCTTGATCAGTCCCATGCTGGATTCCCAGCCATCGGTCTGGGATTCAAGAGCTAACCCTTGTCAGGTCAGCTGGGGGTTAAACCAGCCCAGTCTTAATCCCTTTGCTCATCAGTCCTCCCTCTCTGTCACTGGATTCCTTGAGTTCAGCTCAGTGTTTAGCTGTGGGAGTCCAGCCACTGGATAAAGGTTCTGTTTCCCAGACTCTCTGGCTGTGGGATTGTAGGCTGAGGAGTGGTTTTATATAGGATGGGCTGGAAAGGTCTCAGTCAGCAGGACAGAGAAAGAGAAGCTCAAGCAAGCATCTGAAGGGCTCCCTTCTGCTCTTGGTCCACGAGAAACAATTTTGCACAACTGATAATTTCTCAAAAAAGTAATATTTCAAAGCCTGATATGTCCTCTGCTTGCATTGAGCTTCTCTTTAAGATTTGACTTATTCTAGCCAGGCGGTAGTGGCACACACCTTTAATCCCAGCACAGCACTCAGGAGGCAGAGGCAGGTGGATTTCTGTGAGTTCAAGACCAGCCTGGTCTACAGGATCTAGTTCCTGGACAGGTTCCAAAGCTACACAGAAAAACCAGAAAAAGATTTGACTTAATGTATAAATATTTGACTTAATGCATTCACTCACACGCATGTGTGCATGTGTGCATGTGTGCATGTGCATGTGTGTGTGTGAATGTTTCTTCCTTCCTCCTTCTCCTTCTCCTTTTGTTTTTGTTTGTTTGTTTGTTTGTTTGTTTGTTTGTTTTAGAGACAGGCTTTCACTATGTAGCCCTGGCTGTCCTCTCACTATGTAGACAAAGCTGAACTGGAACTCACAAAGATCCACCTGCCTTTACCTCTCCAGTGCTGGGATTAAGGGTGTGTACCATCATGGCCAGCCTCTGGGTTTCTCTCTAAATAAGAACTTTCTGGAACGTACATGACAGAGATTACTTACTTTCTCCAAATGTGTTTTACTTATCAAAGCACCCATGCTGGCTGATGGATCGGAGGGCATTCCAACTTTCCACTTTCTGGTAGCTTCTACAAACCTCTTCAGAAATTCACTATAGATGCTCTTCTGGACAAAGATCCTGCTGGTACAGAGGCAGATCTCCCCCTGCCAACAGTGAAGACAATGATAAGCTGAGGACATTCTTCTTCATGGAGACATACCTCAAGTTTTTGATCACCTGCCATGTATCAGGCACTGGTCTAGGCAGTGAGATCCAGCTGTCAGCCAGACTAGTTCCTACCACACGGAACACATAATCTTACAGGAAGACAGACAAAAACTCAAATGAACATACTTCAGAGAGTTATCAAAACAATGAAGAACATTAGGCAAATGATGGAATTAGGAATTCCAGTGAGCAGCACTCACAGAGTAGATATTGGAAGGGCTCTTGGCGAGTATGAAGGGGTTAGATAAGTAAAGACTGAGAGGAGAGAGGTTCCAATGGCAAGAGTGGGGATCTCGTGCGGGACTGAGGCTGGTGTGGGTAACAAGGCGAGGAGGTGAGCAGGCTGAGGTCATGAGTGAAGGCGGTGACACACAGTGACAGGAAGCAGGTGGGATTAAGCGGGGAGACGGGCATTCTCAACGGCTCAGAAGGACTTTGCTTCACTCTCAGCATCATAGAAAAGAAACAGCAGAGAGAAGAGATATGATCAGATTTACATTGTGTATGTGTCTATGTGATATGTGAATGCATGTGTGTGCATATGTATATGTGTGCTTTTATGTGTATGGGTGTGTTTTGTGGTATGTATGTGTTGTGGGTATGTGTGTGCGTATGTGTATAGGTATATGTGTATGTGGCATGAGAATATGTGTGCATGTGTGTATGCATGTGTGTGAGGGTATGTGTGACTATGTGTGTGTATATGTAGAAGCCAGAGAACAGCCTCAGGTGTCATTACTGAGGAGCACTTCACCCTGAGTTTTGGGTTTCTGGGGTTTTGGAACAGGGTCTTTTTCAGTGGCCTAGAGCTCTCTGAGTAGGCCAGGCTGATTGATCAGTGAGTCAGAGGACCCGTCCGTCTTCATATCCTCAATCCTAGGACTACAGTGTGTGGCTGGCTTTCTTAGGTGGGCCCCAGGGGGGTTGAACTCATCTCATACTTGCATGGCAAGTACTTTCCCAACTGAACTATCTCCTCTGACCCTGAGACTTACATTTCTAGATGATCATTCACAAAGCTGTGTGCAAAACAAAACTGGAAGGAAGTTAGAGTGAGGCAAAATAGTCCCAAAGCTCAAATAATATAGGTAGCTTGTACTGGGGAGACATCAATGGAAGTGGAGAGAGGAAGTCACACCACTGAATTTGACTCTTAAAGGAGTGTGGGACCCCGAAAGTGTGGGAGACGTCTAAGTAGAGATGCTGAATGTTCAGGGGGAAAGGTCCTGGTAGGTTTTGGAGAGAAAAACAATCCTAACTGTCATTTAAATACAACATGAAATAGTTTACAAACCACATCTAAACACTTGAAAGCAAAATGTATGAAAAGAGTATGGATGCATAAGTATTAATAACATTTTTCATCACATTTATATTTGCTGTTCACAACAATCCCGGGAACAGAATGCTTCTAATTATCTTGGTATTTGCACAAAGGTTTATTGTTCAAATTAAGCAGTTAATGTTCTAAAAAAGTGAATTCTTTTTCCAGCAGGGCCACTAGCAGAACCATCTGCCTATGTGGCTTGGAAGATTGCCAAACACCTGTTGGCTTCCTTTGCATAAGTTCCCTATGCAAAAGGAGGGCATGGTGGCGATACTTGAGAGTTTTACCAAGTTTCCCATCACTTAGTGCTAGGAACATATAGGTTTCACTGAGATGGGAGAAAGAACGACTCCAAAGGGAATGAGCAAAGAAAGAACTCATTCACTGAATCACTATGCCATGCCAGGCACTGACTTGAATACTTTCGCCATAAAAGTCCTGCAGTGTGCTGGTATTCTCAGGTCACAGTTAAGAAACCAAGTTTTGAATTAATGTATACTCAAAGTCACACTGAGAGTTTACCCCTCCCTCCCCTGAAGCCAAATATCTTCAATTAAGGGAGAAATATGCCCTGCCTGGAACTTGTCAATCAGCTAAGGCAAATAAAGCAAGCAATTATAGTGTGCTTAAAATGCACCTGTTGCCTGGCTTGATCATATTCTTTTTCCCATTGATACCTTAAACACCCCTCTTCCTCAAGGGGATGTTCAGTGGACCAAGCCAAATCCTAAAAGGATCCTGATAGATGGGTAGCCTCGGTCTACTTGTTTAGCATGTGGCTGCCTTATAGACCTGTCAACTCACATTCCCTCATCTCAGTTCTTAGAGTTTGTCCCTCTCTCATTGTCTTGCTACCCTTGATACACTAGTTTAAGTGTTTACTTGACATCTGCTAATTTTAATGACTAAATAATTTGTGTTACAACATCGGATTGTCCACCCATACCCAAACACTATATTTCCAGCCATCGACTTTAGAAGCTATGATAAAGGAAATAACTATCAATATGATTATCACGAAAATGTTCATTGAAAGTCATGTTTGTCGCTAAACGTTCATAGAACACCTTTGGAAGGCTGCAGTGTCCAAAGTTATTGTAAAGGTAAAGAAACAGAGGCATCATTCCCATCTGTGGTCAATCTGGTCTCGTGCTCTTATTCCTCTGGGGGGCTATGACTTTGAAAAACCTGACAGAAATTGCAGAGACCACAGAAATATTTGTGATGCAATAATAATAGAAGTTGCAAAGGTGTCCTGAAGTTGTCTGTCACTCCAACTTGCCAGAAATGGGAACTTGGTGAATAAAGGCATCAGGGATACTGTGGGGAGACAAGAAAATCTACTGGCAACAGAACATGTGGTTCAAAGGGGAGACAGGAGGCTGTGGGGACAAAGAAATGGAGACGCTTAGAGTAGCAAAATCAGTCATTATACCCGTGGCTGGCACTTGATAAAAGTTGTGTGACTCAAGACAAGGAACTTGGCAAAAAGCAGCCGTGACTGTACCAGGCCACTCCTGGGTGTTAGAATAACACTATAACCGATGCTACTTTCAGAAAAAAAAAAAATAACAGAACCAGTGCCAACCCCCCTGCACTTGGTCTTGTGATGAAATAGATCCAACCTGAAGAGCCTTAGTAAGCGGGGCTCATACCTGGTTAGCAAAGCTGGACCTAACGGTTGCTGGGATACACTCCTCCAGATTGGCATCCTCAAAGATGATAGCAGGATTCTTGCCTCCCAGCTCCAGGGAGAGCTTCTTGCAGTGGGGGGCGCTTAGCTGGGTAATCCTCTCAGCTGTGGGCTGGCTCCCAGTGAAGGAAATCACGGGTACCTCTGGGTGGGATACCAGGGCCTCACCCACCCTGGGCCCCGTTCCAAACACAATATTGATCACACCTGGTGGAACACCTGGATGGGAAATAAAATCAGCAATAGCAGTTCTCCTAGATTTATAGAGGATACCTGAAGTGACTCTCCTTTGGGAGTCCAAAAAGTGGCATGTGGGGAGGGGGTGGAGATGGTGGCTTTGATGGCACCTGGAGATTTTAGGACTAGCTCAAGTTTAATAGTGAGGCCTATGCTGCTGAGTCACCTCTGCTTATGGAACCTGCCTGCTGGGGATTCCCTGGGTGCTTTGGCCTGGAAAGATGCAGGGTAAAGGACATTCTGAGAAATGCATTCTATAATACTGACTAAGCCTTTGGGGCTGATGTACCAGTACTGTCAAGCAACCTCAACCCATGTTGGAGCAGGAGCTTGTGATACCTGGAAGTTACAAAGCTGGGTAACTGTGTTAAGTAAACCGGTGTGTGTGTTTGCAGATATGTGAAGACATCAATTGTTTTAGCCCGGAGAGGCAGGAGAAGACGTCCCGGGGGTGTACTTTTTGACTTGAGGTTCTGTGCCCATGGTTACATGCAGCATCACTGCAACCCCAAATCATGCAACAAATACCAGAAACATGCAAAAACAGGTGTCTTGATGGTTTCTACTGCAAGACCCTATAGATCTAAATCTGCATGTATACATTTACCTCTTTCTGTGATTAAATTCTTTGGGGGGTGGCTGTGCATGTGCCTGAGTGTGTATGCATATGAATGCACGTGTGTGTAAAGGTCAGAGGTCAACCTCACTCTCATTCCTCAGAAGCCATCCTTTTAGACAGAGTCTCTGATTAGCTTGGAGCTCCCGGAGTAGGCTAGGCTGGTTGCCTAGTGAGCATCTGAGATCGGCTTGCCTTCATCCCCAGCACCGGGATTACAAGTGTGTACCACCACACCTGGCTTTTTTACGTACGTTCTGCAGATTGAATTCAGATCTTCATGCTGTGCAACAAGCACTTTACTGACGTATCTGTCTCCTCACCCATTACTTCCTTATGCCTGCCCTCCACCGAGTTACTGGCTAAGGGCAGAAATGCTATCTGGATTTTGTTCTCCATTGTATCCCCTGGGCAACTAGTAAGTGATAACATTTATTGGCTGCTTAGGTAAGTGTCAACTATCGTTATTAGTGATCTGCAATCATCTTCTATTATCTATCGACTTGTTTTCTACTGTTTCAGTTGTGGTCCAAAGTCACTTATGGTCTGAAATATGTGTCTTTACATTTAGAGAAAAAGCACTCCCATGTTGCTTTTATTACAGTAAGCTGTCATACTTTTTATACTTTATTGTTAATTTCTCATTGTGTCTAATTTATAAGTTTAAACTTTACCATAGGTCTATTTGTATATAAAAACAAAATGCCTAGAGATACCGATGCCAGGAGTCCACTCACAACCTGGAAACGCATCTCTAACTTATAACAGGAGATTACAAGCCAGTGTTTGACCTCACAATCCTTTAAAGGACTTACTATTATTAGCTCACTTTACTGGTGAGAAAGTTGACAAGTTAAGTACTAATCAGTAAATCTGGTCGAGCAGGTTAACAAACGCTAGCGAATGAGATTGAACCAAACAGTGTTTAGTGTTCAGCAGCCAATGAGAAACAGATGGCAAATTGGAGAAGCTCTACATGTTCAAGTTGTGTTTGTATCTAGGGGTTTCTTAGGCTTTGCATGAGGTGTCTGGATTCAGTCCCTCTGTTTCCTCAACAGGTGCAGAAATTCTGCATGAGACACTTTGGAGACAGCCTGAAAGCTCCTGTCTCCTCTGCTCGATTGCGCTGGGTTAGGCATTCCCTCAGTTCAAATCTTCAAGATGCCATCCCAGGCATCTCTCTTAGATCAAAGCCAGTCTGCAAGAATGTGATCTTAAAGTATAACTACTACTGTCATATTCGTTAACCGAGATTATCTTGAACTCCCTTCCACAGAGCCACGGCATAACCCTGGTCACTTTGAGAGAAAAATGAAGACACACACACACACACACACAACACACACACACACACACACACACACACACAGCATGTCCCTTAGGGAGAAGGTGGGAACTCAGTGCTGTGAGTCTTACTCCTAAGCACTCTGTCCCTATTCATTATGTGCCTCTATAGAGCCTAGTTTAGGTCAATGTTGGTTCATAGGCTAGAGGAGCTCTGCGTATCATATGGGAGAGCTAAGAAGAGTCTAGAAGGAGAGCCACTGACAAGACAAAAACAAGGACAAGTTTCCCGCCATCCATGCATGAGGCCCTGCAGCTCCAATGCATGACATAACTATGGGTAGATGGGAGAGTAAGGGTATAAGGGCAGCTGTTATTAAATCCTCAAAGACAAAAATTAACTGAGTCGTGTCTAAGTTTGCTGTGATATTATAATAGAGTCTGAGAGAAAACACAGGAACACCACGTATATCTCACCACAGGACAATGAGTCCATTCCACAGGCTGACTGATTTCCACACACGTTAGCATTCTGATGGTTTGCCTGAGGTCTGATGCTAACGTGTTAAGAGGCAGCAGCTTGTGTGATTTCTCAGTGTCATCTGCTGAGCCAGACAGTAACACAACACTTTTGTACAGATATCTGCCCTCTAAACTCTTACGAGATTCTGGTTGTCAGAGAAGAAAAAGAATTTAGCTGACAAACAGAAGTTGCAAAATAAAGACTGGGTTAAGTGGCCAGAAGATCAGTCAGGAACACACAAGAATGAAGCCCTCTAAGGGCTGAGACTCGATGGAGAGGCACAGCACCTCTCCTGTCCCACTCTGTGAACCCGCGGTCACCAAGATGGCAAGAAATGGCTTTGGGCCTATGTGCACACCGAAGATTTGGTTTTACAAAGAATGGAACTAGAAGGTGATCTGTTTATAAGGAAGTATGAGCAAATTCTGGGAAATGGGAGAGGTAGGCATGGTCTCATCTTCTAGGGGCCTTAGGGCATCTATATAGGTCATCTGGAAGACTGGTTTGGAGGCCTCATTCCTAAGGCTATAAGGATCAGTGCCATTCTCCAAAACAAGCCCAGATCTAACCTAGCATCAAAATCTGAAAGAACCAGCTATACCTCACTGGAGGCTAATGTGTGTGCTTTTGCTTCTGAAGCATTCGAAAGAAGGGAGTGGGAAGAGAGGGAGGGAGAGAGGCAGGGAGGAAGGGAAAAATAGGCTTCTACCTGTTGGCCATTCTATGGAGTCAGAAGAGCCCAACTGTGGTTTCTCCATGCCAAAAGGCAGTAAAACATCACATGTTGACACAGACAGAGGGTGATAAATCTGTCCCCACTACCCTGTCACCATTCCCATCCTTGCTGTAGGGATTCACAAGATGAGCACCCTAACAGAAAGTCTTTTCAAAGGTTACTTGCTAGGATCTAAATACCAGGACAATGTCAGGCTTCTCCATGCAGAATTATGTCCCAAATGGAGCCAGGAAGGCAGCTTAAGTGTAGACATTAAAATTAGCTGAAAGAGAATAAGGAACAAATGAGTGGATGTTGATAAGAGGCCAGGGCCTATCCACTTCTGCCCCAAATACAGGAAGCTGAAGGATGTGTATTAAATCCCTTGAAAATGGCTCAATCTACTAGGCATTGTTCAGCTACACAAACTCCAGTAATACCCAACATCCAAGAACGACTAGCAGCTCAAACTTAAATTTAAAGTGACCGCCGATGATAATAACTTGAACTAGTTGGCGTCTTTGATGTCATCAGGTCTCTCATAGCCTTCACCCCGTGAGGTGACGCTGTTGTCCAATGGTACCCTGCTGGAGTTAGAGGGAATGAAGGCGCAGCAGAGAACGGTGGATGAAGACATGGCCAGAAGGTATCAGGCTCTCAAAATGAAAAGACAGCGCTGAGTCAGTGCTGAGTGAAGGTGGCCTCTGGTGTCCTAGCCCCTCCCTGTCCCCACACCCAGTTACCCGCTTTGTCCACGAGTTTGCACAACATCCACGCAGTCACTGACGTCAGCTCGCTGGGCTTGGCTATCACAGTGTTCCCCGCAGCAATGGCCGGAGCTATCTTCCAGGTCAACAGGTAGAGCGGCAAGTTCCAAGGGCTGATCAAACCAGCTGAGGGACAAGAACAGAAGCAGAGCCGTGATGACAGCTCCTCAGAGACAGACCAGCTGGGTGGTAGCTCTAGCAGAATCCTTTGCTGCACAGAAACCCAGACTTCGTTTATTGATGTCCAGCTTCAGAAAAGCTATTGTAAACTATTACAAGCAATTTTCTCCTTCCAACAGCAAAGTCAATACATTTACCCTCCTCCTGGTGAGCCAGGATTATAATTAGGAATCACAGCAATACACACTCCAGGGATAAAGGCTGTTGACAATTCGTCAATATGCTTTGAATAGAATGCACATTGAAACATGTAGACTGACTTTTACTTTTTATTTTACTTTATTGGTTTTTCAAAACAGGGCTTCTCTGTGTAACAGTCCTGGCTGTCCTAGAACTCTCTTTGTAGAGCAGGCTGACTTTGAACTCACAGAGATCCACCTGTGTCTGCCTCCCAAGTGCTGGGATTAAAGGCGTGCATCACCACTGCCCAGCTGATCTTTTTAAAGGAAGCCATATCCCAGTGCAGTACTAAGCAGCGAGGTTGCAATAGGGGGTTCCCACCTCAGTCTCTAACCTGCTGTCATGGAGACGTTAAAACCCAGGTTTTGCTGAATTATGTGTGTGACAGGCAAAAAAAAAAAAAAAAAACCCGGAATATTCCTCTAGGGGAGCAATTATGCCAGTAGACTCTGACATGCAAGCCGTGAAATCTACCCTGGCAACATATATGTTCTTAAAATTAAATTCTGTCTACATTTTCAACTATATACTGACCATGTAGGTTTGCTGGATAACAACATACCTAACTTCTAGCAGGTACATCCAGTCTAATCTTAGGACTTTATGACACAATGTTGTCATCTACCAAGTTCCCACTCAAGAGACATGCCATCAGTTAACTTTAAAAATGGTCCAAAGAATCTCATAATATTTAAAATAATTTGTCATTTTGTGTATTAGGTTCCATTCACTTATTGAGCCACGGTTGGGCATGACTGAATGTATCTATATATACTATGCTTAAACTGTTCAGTTTCCATCCACAGCCTGCATAGATATAAGGTCTCCTCTATGAATTAAAAAAATCTCTGTGAGTTCAAAGCCACCCTGGCCTATAGAGCTAGTTCCAGGACAGGCAGGGATACACAGACAAACCCTTTCTAAAAAAAAAACTAAAAAGAAAAATTTACTTTATTTTATACTTTGTCTGGTGGAAGTAAGTATATTTTATAGTACTAAATTTCTCATAGAAATATCTGTTCTTTAAGAGTAACAGAATGTGTTTGCAACAAAATATATTCATATGTTCTTAGTAGGTGATTAAAGCTTCCTACAATGCCTTGGGAAACGATTTCTAGAGGATTCGGAATCAAGACAGTGAAATGTTTCATTCGCTTTCTTTTTGTTGTCCTAATATTTGTAGCTGGTAAAAACATGGCATTTCTTCTCAAGGGAAACAGTGACATCTACTGACTATATTTAGTCATTTCAGACACTTACATATTAACCATAGGGCAAGAGGAAAAAAGGTTAACTCTTATTCACCTGGCATTGCTTGAAGGAGCATATCATTTTGTGTGTGTATGTGTGTGTGTGTGTGTGTGTGTGTGTGTTTAAAGACAGGGTCTTGTCCAGGCTAACCCCAAACTAATTGTGTAAGCAAGGATAACCTTGTACTTCTTTTTTTTTTTTTTAGAAAAACATTCTTTTTTTATTTTCCGTAAAAAATTTATTTGTGTGCATTGGTGTTTTGCCTGCCTGGATAGCTGAATGAGAGCTGCCCTGTGGGTGCTGGGAATTGAACCCAGGTCCTCTGGAAGAATAGCCAGTGTTTTTAACCACTGAGCCATCTTTCCAGACCCCTCCCCCACCTTGTGCTTCTTCTGATTCCCCTGCCTCCCTTGTCCAAGTGCCAGCACAGCCAACTGAACTATAGACTTAGACTTACTAATGGACTCAAGTTTCTTATATTACTGAATCCTACAGAGAGAAAAGTGAACTATTGTCCCAGCTCTTCAGAATACTGAAGCTTGAAAAAGATGCAATCCTGCAGTCCAAACATGACATGTCTGGATTTGTGGTTTTCTTGTTTTAATTATAAGCAACAAGGCTTTTCCCCCTTTCCCTGTGATCTTCCAAGACAGCAACGTTTCTGGAAAAGGCAGAGGATTTGATACAAGGAGAATGAACTAGAAATTTTTTGTTTTGTTTTGTTTTTCCAGACAGGGTTTCTGTGTATTGTTTTGGAGGCTGTCCTGGAACTCTCTCTGTAGACCAGGCTGGCCTCGAACTCACAGAGATCCGCCTGCCTCTGCCTCCCAAGTGCTGGGATTAAAGGCGAGCACCACCAACGCCCGGCGCACTAGAAATCAATTTTAAAGCCAATGAATTTTCAGCAAAAGAAAACTCAACCCTTGCATTTCCTTAGTCTGTCCCTAGGAACACGTAAAACCAGAATTTCTGAACATTTTGATTCAGATTTTCCTGGGACACCACCTACCGATTCCCACCGGGGTGCGAACAGTGTAGTGCATACAGCTCAGGTGGTCCATTTGCGTGCACTCCGTCGTGTGGTGCAGGATGGAGGAAGCAAAGAACCGGAAGTTCTGAGCTGCGCGAGGAATGTCCATGGTCCTTGCCAGGCTGAGGGTTTTCCCTGTAGGAAGTGAAGAATATAAAATGCTGCCTGCGTGTTTCCCACGGAGTTAGTGCTGACCTCTGTTGCGTGTCATCTGCCACCGCGCTCATTTCCAGCCACCGGAGGTACTTCTTTATCCCCACAGACTTGACGCTGGTTGGATCAAGCGATGAAATATTTAGGTAGGGAATATTTAGGTGTAAGGTTATAGAGTGAGGTGGGGAGGGCCTAAAATAGAGCCAGAACATCCTTGCTCTGTGACCACCTCCTGACTTTCATCACGAAGCTACCAGATGTCACCATTTCACCCACACGGGCTCCGGTGTGTTAGCAGCTTCGAATTGATGGGGTTAAGATAGTCAGTGTTAAAATAGCTAAATGTGCACATCACATATAAATGCGTGAGGTATCTTAAATATCTCCAAACACACCGAGTGGTCATCAAAAAGGCTAGTGTGAACCTCAACACAGGACGCTGGTTTCTGGATGGGGCAGGAGGGAGTCTACTTGAACTTCAGTGATAAAGAGGGATGGACTGCCTCCAGAACAGGAGCCAAAGAAATTCTTCCCTTCCCTTCCCATCCCTCCCCTCCCCTCCCCTCCCCTTCCCTCCCCTCCTCCGTCCCCTTCCCTTCCCTTCTATTTTCTTTTCCTCCTCCTGTCTCTGTCTCTGTCTCTCTCTCTGTCTCTCTGTCTCTCTCTCCCTCCCTCCCTCCCTCCCTCCCTCCCTCCCTCTCTCTCTCTCTCTCTCCCTCCCTCTCTCTCTCTCTCTGTCTGCCCCCCCCTCTCTCCTGATTATCACCATATGGCTCAGGTGGCCAGGAACTCACAATCCTCCTGCCTCAGCTGCTATCACAGTTGCTCACCACCACACTGGCCTTGAAGAAACGTGCTCTTTCTGGGGACCTGTCTGCTGCTTCCAAACTTTAAGTTGGCTTATGGCGGGCACATTTTAATACCACCTGCCTCTTCCTGAAAGACATGATGATGTCTATATATTCATCTATCCCCGTGCCTTTGGGAAGGAGTGGAAACATGGGAGTAGAATAGCGACACTACATCAGCAAACTAGCCAGCCTTCAAATTCTTTACTCGGGGACCCTCTGAGCAGAACAGGTAGATGGCACTGCCACCCCTCGTTCCTCCGGTCTCCCATCCCCATACTCTGCTGTGACTCCTTGTCACTCCTTCCACTGAAGTGGCAGAATGTATTCCCCCATCATGTAGCTTTGGGTTCCGCCACTAAGTAGGCATATCTTAGTCTTTTGCATCCTACTTATTTCTGCCTCCATCTCTATTGTCATCTCAATAAGCAAGTGTGTAGGCCAGCTTGACACCTCAGACAGGAGGGTACCACTTGTCCTGAGTGTAATCCATTTTACCAAAAGGCAAGAGATTATCTGACAAACTAGAATGAGGGTGCTAGCTGCCATTATCTACATATAAGTATATAGTAAGACACACCTGTACTCAAGCCCAGCTGCTGCTGCTAAAAGAGCTTGGAAGGCAGACAAATCCTGCCAGGGACCCCGCTCACCTTGGTCTTTAGATTCAGCCTGGGCTAACTCCTCCAGGGACTGCTCCACTAAGTCAGCCAGTCGGTTCAGGACCACAGAACGCTCCTGGGGGCTCCAGGATGACCAGGCAGGGAAAGCCTCTCTGGCAGCCCCCACTGCAGCTTCAATCTTTGAGGACCAAACCAGAGAAGGTCACTTCAGCACTATTGCTCTGAGGACCAGCAACACCCAGAAGCCATGGTTCCCTTCATACCTGATGACCATTCTTCCCCATTTCAGCTATTCAATACACGCAAAATAGACAACACAGGGGTCTATGTAACCAACAAAGTGTGTAGGGGGAAATTTAGGACTGTGCCATTAGCCACATGGCACTCTAGAGGCCCAGACGGATGCAGTAACGAAAGGGTGGAACCGCGCCACTAACCACACCCACTTTGGGCATGACTAGAGACAGGGCTGTGAACTATGCTGCTAGCTAGGCCCACTTTTGGGCATGGCTAGAGGCGTGTATGGAGGTAGGAATAAAAGATTGCAGCAGAGCCACATTCGCTCTTTTTTCGGCTTCTGGTTCCGTTTTCTCTTGTAAGTAATTTCTACAATAAACAGTTATCTATACACTCAACAAGTGTGTCATTTATCGTTACAGCGACAAAAGGCACTAAAACAAAGGCAGCATTATTTGCTCGCTCCTTTCTGCTGTCCTCAGGCAAATCTGATCATCTGAGTTCTGAATCATTGCCACCATGGACTCAGGGTGACCAGCAGCTGACCATGTGAAACCATGTGCCAAACCTCTCCTCCTATCTGCTGAACCCCTTCAGAATTTAGTCTCAGAGCCAACAGCAGGCCAACTCGACCAGACTCTAGCATGAACTTCTAGAAGCCTGAAGACAAGCACAAGGATGCACCCAGCTCCTGTGAACAAGGCAGCCCCAGTGGTACCCGGGATGTGGATCTCAGTCTGAACAGCTGTATACCCTCTGACGGTGAGTAGTCAGAATGATTGACTGGTCAGCAGTTTCAAAGGGTGCCTGAGGACCTGGAGAAAATACATACTTGTTACGGAGCTGGCAAATGATTCTGATCTGCCCCATGTGAAGAAACTGCAACAGTCAACAGTGAGGCACCAGCAATTCCATGAGGAAATGGACAAAGATGCATGCCCAAGATTCATAAGGACACGACAGCATATCCAGTCAGTAGCCATAGGGAAATGTGCATGAAGTCAATTTCAACGATCGAAAGATTCTGGGCTGCGAGTGTGGCTTTGTGATACAGCATTTCGCTAGCATGTCCAATGCCTCAGTTTGACTGCTGTGGAAAGAGCCCTGTCATCCCCTGCTGGAGGGAGGCAGAACATGACAGTGCCGCCACAACTCTTACTAAGGACCACCCTCCAGGGCATTTATCCTTTCAAGCAAAAGAAAAAAAGTGTGCAGGAACGTTTATAGCAGCGATGGTCATAGTAGCCCCAAACTACAAGCCACCAGCTCTCCTTAGGTGGGTGAATGGTAGCCAACTGCGGCACACCCATGCTGGCTACACACTTCTCTGCATTCAGAGGAGCGGCTACTTCATGCAACATCCCTGAGGGATCTGCAGAACTAAGCTGAGTGACAGAAGTGAAACTCTCTGCCTTCGCCAAGGTAGCTTTTCATTTTACAGGTAAAGCAATTACAGCCCCAAAGCCTAAGCCAGCCAGGCAGAACGGGGTGTAAGAGAGGTTAAGGCTGCCTTGCAAAGGGATTGTCTCCCACAGCTCGTAGTTCTAAGGCAGGTCAGATGCCCAAGCTTCCAATTCAGAGCTCAATGCATAGACAGGAGCTGGGGACAGGGAGGGGAACATGCACCATCTCTACCAAGGTGTCTAGCAAAGTGTCAAGCAACTTGGAAAAAGTGATTTTTTAAAAGTTTTTTGAGACAGGCTTTTTGTCTGTGTAACTTTGTAGACCAGGCTGGCATGGAACTCACAGAGATCCACCTGCCTCTACCTCCCAAGTGCTGGGTGGGATTAAAGGCATGTGCCACTACCGCCTGGCATGATTTTAATTTTAAAAGTTGAGAATTTTCAATCAATTCCCAAAGAATGCACCGTTTGGGATGCAGTGAAGGAAAGGAAATGTGTCTAGATGTGCCAAGTCTCTAATGCTGTTAATTCAGTGTTAACAGTTTGCAAAGTCTAACATCCTCTGTGTGATAGCATCCTGGGTCTGTTCCTGGCCTTCAGAGTGACTAACCTGGTCACTCACTGACTAATTTGCATATCTGAAGAACTATAACCAAAAGCACAAAGTCCTTAATCCTTCTAAAAACTCCCCATGGGAGTGTTGTATGCTGTTCTGAAGTAAGAAGGTTGAGGCACAGAAAGATCATGTAACTTTCCAGAGGTCGAAGCTACTAAGTGTCAGTGTGGGGATTCAAACCCAGTCTCTGTGAGTCCCAAAACCATTAACTCACATGCTATAGCACTGTGGTTCTCAACCTTCCTATTGCTGCATAAATGTACTTTTGTTGCTACTTCATGATTGTAATCTTGCTACTGTAAGTATCTGATAGGCAGGAGATATGAGATGAGACCCCTGTGTTGGACACCCCAGGGTTGAGAACCGTTTCTGTGTCATAACATGTGTCTTCGCCCCGCCCACAGAAGAGGCCTCTGTTGGAAAAGCTAGAGAGCTCCAAGCTGGAAAGGATAAATACATGAAAACAGATATGCCCTCTTGTGGTCAAAATGTGAAACACACAGAATGCATCTGAGTGCTTTTTTTAAATGTTCTTTTTTAAGTTTAATTTAAATTAGAAACAAGTTTGTTTCACATGTCAACCCTAGCTCCCTCTCCTGCCCACCTTCAACCCTCCCCCAACCCCTTCCCCAATTCCCACTCCACTCTCCAAGGAGGGTGAGGCCCTTGTTGGGGGATCTCAAAAGTTTGTCATATGATCTGGGGCAGGGCCTAGGCCCTCCCCCATGTGTCCAGGCAGAGACAGCATCCCTCCACGTGGAATGGGCTCCCAAAGTCCATCTTGATGGCAGGAATAAATGCTGATTTATTGCCTGAGGCCCCAAAGGATGCTGAGGTCTCCTCACTGTCACCCACATTCAGGGGGTCTGGATCAGTCCCATGATGGCCTCTCAGCTATCAATCTGGGGTCCATGAGCTCCCCCTTGTTCAGGTCAGCTGATTCTGTAGGTTTCACCCTCCAAGTCATAACCTCTTTGATCATCACTCCTCCCTCTCTGCAACTGGGTTCCAGAGGTTCAGATCAGTGTTGAGCTGTGGGTGTCTGCCTCTGCTTCCATCAGTCACTGAATGAAGCCTTTATAGGGACGGGCATTTAAGGTAGCCTCTCCACTATTGGTTAGATTCCCTGTTGGTGTCTTCCTTGTAGGTCTCTGGACATCTCACTAGTACCAGATCTCTCTTCAAGCCTACAATGGCTCCTTCTACTATGGTATCTCTCATCCTTCTCGTCTGAGTGCTTTTCTGCCTTGGTCTAGTTTGCAAATTAAGCCCACAGGCTATAATATCTCACTTAGCTCTCTCTCTCTCTCTCTCTCTCTCTCTCTCTCTCTCTCTCTCTCTCTCTCTCTGTGTGTGTGTATGTGTGTGTCTCTGTCTCTCTGTCTCTGTCTCTCTCTGTCTCTGTCTCTCTCTCTCTCACACACACACACACATACACACACACACACACACACACACACACGCACACGCACACATACACACACACAATTTTGCATGAATCTTATAAAGTCACCAAAGACACAGAGTTTGTGGAACACAGAATGTTTCTAAACTGGATTGCTATACATATTACGGTAGTAAGAAGTGTAAGTAGGGGCTGGAAAGATGGCTCAGAGGTTAAAAGCACTGGCCGCTCTTCCAGAGGTCCTGAGTTTGATTCCCAGCAACCACATGGTGGCTCACAACCATCTGTAACGAGATCTGATGTCATCTTCTGGCATGCAGGCAGAACACTGTATACTTAATAAAAATTTAAAAAAAGAAGTGTAAGTAGCTGTTTTATTCTACTTCCTGAAGAAGTGCAAGTTGTTACCAACTTCACCTGCATTTAGTAGATTTGTTATTTTTAGCATCACTTTGGAAAGACTCCGAGACTGGGAAGAGTGGAGAAAACAAGGTTAGATTTCTTTTTTTTTTTTCAAGGTTAGATTTCTGTTTGCGTTCATTGGAAGCAAACAAAATTGCCAGTTACAATTTAACTAACAAGTTATCCAATATTTGTAAACTTTAGCACAGAAGTCTAAAGTGATATTTTTCCTCTGGAAGATAGATTTAAAGTTTAACAAAGAAGAAAAAAGCTGAATCTTTGAAGAAGAAAACTTTGCATATAGGAAAGCTGAAATTATAACCTATTTCTTTGTGCCTTAAAGTGAATAAACAATATTCACTTGATAACTACATACGTATCAGCCACACTTATCACACTAGATAATTTTTATTCTCCGTGCAATAATTCATAGCTAACCAAATTCCCATTTTCCAAATTCCCCAAAAGAACTTAATTCTTCATAACTAAAACAGAAAGGAAAAGGAGCAAGAAAGGAATATGAACCATTAAATATTTTTAAATAAGTATAATGAAGAAAGAAAACACAAGAATTGAATTTTCAGCTTCATTACTCAATGGCAGGTTGACTTTGTTTCACTGGGTACTTTGAGAGACATGAGGAACTATTAGATGATAGTCTAAAATAAACTACTGGGATTTTCGTGTTGCTCTAAACTGAAGTCTTTAAAACTCATTTTTATAAATCCAAGAGCTAATGGACACTCTGTAGAGAAAGGGCTGCATTTAATATGGCGACAGTTCTCACGAATAATACTTGCACTAAATGCCTATTATAGCCTGTTTGAGAATTACAAAAATTAAAACCAACTATGCCCAGAGCTGTTAAGTTGGCAAGCAACAACTTTCTTCTGTCCATTTTAAGCCCAGAGCTGTTCTGACTCATACCTGTCCTGTCATAAGATAAAGTACCTCATGAAACTCTACTTTCTCCACCCCCCTTCACTTTCAGAAAATAGCTTTTCACAATTTGTCACCACAGTCAATGCATTTCTGTTTTCTAAGTGGATATACTCACCTCTTCTTTTCCACTGTTTGGTACTTTGCAATACACTTCCCCTGTTGATGGATCATACGAATCTATGTATGAGCTACAGGGTAAAAATTTTCCACCTATGAAGTTTTCCAACATCAGAAGCTCCTTTTTTCCAGCAGCCATGGTAGGGAGAATGCTCTTCAGCCTGTATAGTAGCCCCTGTGACTGTCCTCAGGACTTTGTTCCAACACCCTCAGCCAGCCCATGTCCTCATTTGCATATCATAGACCAGGAGTCCTGCTGCTCTCCAGAATATTCCAGATTCCAAACTCAGGAGAGTTCCTGAAGGCAGCTGTTGGTCCATTATGAGAGATGGGTGATGTGTTAAACTAACATCGTTATGTATTCACAGGCTCCTCTGACCACCCTTTCAAACCAACAGTGCTTATGTAGATGATTTTACTGTGGTCACACCGTGTCTACTGCTTAAATGTTAAGTGCAAAGCATGATGTTGGTTCCACCGAATAATTTTCTACAAAGTGATTCTTCTTATTTCCCTCTTTCTGGAGAAGAAACTGGGCCTCTGAGAGGTTAGACAGTATCCAAGGTCACACACACACGAGCAAGGGTGCCTCACCACCTTGACCCTGCAGACTTTGTGTCCATTGCTCATCCTTGTTTCCATCTTGGCTGCCTTCTCCCTCAGACATGTCCTCCATCTCAAACCAAGGCTGCAGTGATAGCTCACATATCCTAGATATGCCATAAAATGAAGATACAAACCAAAAATGTATACCACATATACAGCAAACTATAGATGCTTGTCCAGTTCTACAAACTGGTAAGATTAATGGACCTAGCAGAAAAGATTAGTGAAGTCTCTAATAAAAGCAATCCATATCAGAGAGAACAGTTGCCTATGCATGTATTAACAGGTGTTAGACTCATTGTTAATCAAGAAATGGGGCACACAGAAAGGTCCCCATCAGATAATTGGACAAGAGAGTATTTTAAACTTTACTATCAGTCTAGAGATGTGAAAAACACTCGTATTTCTTCTCCCATGCTGGCTGGGTGCACAGAACCCTGCTTGGAGCAGCTTGCCTGTGTCACCATGTCAATATGCCTAGTTAAGTCTAGTGATTTCCCTTCAACAAATCTCTCCTTTAAAAATATTTGATCGTGGACAAGATGGTAAGTTTCAGGACATCCTATTCTTTATGGTAATTGTGAAGCTGACAGCAAATGAAAACTAGTCATGACTTGATTAATTGGATTAAGGAATATTATTTAGACATTAGAAGGATGTGCTGCCAACAGCTTCAGTGTGGTATTTAGTCCCGGCTTCCTCAGAAGGCTGAAGCAGGAGGCTCCCTTAAGCCCAAGAAGTCAAGACCAGCCTGAGAACCATTGCAAGACCCTACCTATCTCAAAAAGCTATGAAAGGATGTGTTAGTGAGAGGAAACTTACAGAATAATGTGTGGTATCGTCTGTGTGTGGCTGTACAGTTGAGGGCGTGAGATAGAGAGAGGAGTCAAAATTGACTTCTCTTTATTCAACATACTTTAAAATGATCTAATATTTGTGATAGGCCCAAGCCCAACTGCTACAGCAGGAATTATGTGGCTGGATGGTAGAAAGCAACATTCAAGGTTCATTGGTCAGCCTCAGCTGGCCGCACAGCTTCTCAGCCTACCTGTGCTTCTGTCTTAATTGATGTCTCTCTAGATTTTTTCTGGAATTCCACTCTCACTCCCGGCGCACAGGAGCCGCAGTTCTCTCTCTGCAAAGGACCCACCCCAGCTGCTTCCTGTGGGAGCTGCGGAAACAGGACTCATTTTCCTTCATACACTCCCATTCTCTAGAAAGGCACCCCATTCAGATTAAGATAATTTTATTTTTTCCCTCAGCTTACAAATCTTCACATTTCTGTTCCTGTTTGTCTTTTTCTCTTTCCTCTCATGTTACTGGTTTTTGGTCACGTTGCTCTCCTTTTGCTGGCACTCTATGAGATTTTTAAAAAGATAGTACACTGGTCATATATGACTAAAAATAAACATCCATGGTTAAATCAAAGCAGTAATGGACATGCAGCCAGGGTCCATTGTGGACCTAAGAAACTGTGGAAACTTTGGTAAGCTTTTCAAAGTTGAAGACAAATGTTTGTACAGATGCATAGATGTTGGAGACCAGAAAGGGCTCACAGAACCATTGTCATTATTATTTTTTGTTATGTGTGGTATGATAGTTATAGAAGTCTTATCTGTGAGAAAAATAATCAAAATATCATATGAATAATTAAACACACATATGGGATCCCACTTAGCAATAGAAGGGACATATTACCAATAAATACAATAGCTTGGATGGATCTCAAAGGCTTTACTTGGTATCTGACTACAAGCACAGAGTCAACCATGAAGTCCTGCTGGCCTGAGCCTATGAGACAAGACATGTGTACTGTGGATGGCACAGCCAGGGACAGGAGGCCCTTTGGAGCCTGGAAGATGGTGAGTGGGTCCCAGGCATCATGCACTAAACTTTAGACATTGGGATTTTGGTTTAACTGTGTCTTGTCTTCCCTCTTGAGAATAAGAAACTACTATTGATTTTCTAAGAGACTTTGTACTTTAAAAAAGACATTAAAGTTTCAGAGAGACGAAATTTTAAGGAAAATTTGGATATTTTAGACTTGGGTATTTGTAATGTTTTACACTGATATTAACTCACCATCTTGGGGCAAATGAGATAGGAAAGGCTCTAGTTGAAAAGTGATGTCTGTGTGTCAAGTTGGCATGGTTGTGCTGGTTCGTCTCATGTCAGCTTGACACAAGCTAGAGTCATCTGAGAGGGGAACCCCAGTGAGACACGCCTCCACAAAACTGGGCTGTAGGCAAGACGGAGGGCATCTTCTAAACTAGTGAGCGATGTGTGAGGGCACAGCTGGTGGTCCTGGGTGCTGAAAGGAAGCAGCCTGAGCAGTGAGGAACAGACGAGCATGAGGAACAGTCAGTAAGCAGCGCTCCTCCATGGAGTCTGCCTCAGTTCCTGCCCTAACTCCCAGATGATGGGCTGCGTGCAACTGTAAGACTGAAACAAACCCTTTCCTCTCCAAGTTGCTTATGATTGTAGTATTTTATCACAGCAACAGACAGCAACTCTAAGACAGTGTCTCTGCAACCAATCTCCTTTCTGGGGATCTAATAAAGGTCACGAGGCTTGGTGGCAAGCACCTTTACCCAGAGCCATGCTACCTGACTCCAGGCTAGTTATTTTTGTTTTCCAATACATGTTATTGTTTTCATCGCATCATTTTATTTCAGGCGTTATTATTACTATTACTAATCTTGTTACTATTTAGTTTGTATTTGTAAACAGCATATCACTGCAATTTCAGCCTACCATCAACAGTTTACCTCACTATGGATTTGCCAGTATTTAGGAACTATTAACAAAAACCCAGTTCATTCATATTTCCTTAGTTTTGACCTAATGTCATTCCTCTGTAGGATCTCATTCATGACCCCACATTACATGTGCTATTCTTGGCAATGAATTTCATTTTTCTTGTTTGAAGAGGTCGGTTTGTGGGTCAAGTATTTTGTACAGCAGCCTTCTAATGGAATTTGGTGTTTTCCTCAAGATTATGAGTATTGTGGCTTTTTGAGAGGAAGACCATGGAGGTTGTATACCTGCTGGTACCTGTGATCAACAGGACTTCACTGCTGCTGACCATGGCCAGGTGGTCAAGGTAATACTAACAGGTTTCTCCAGTTAGAAATATTATTCAACTATTTTTCCATAATGTATTGCGAGAAAAAGGTCACACGCTTAGCCCAAACTTAGAGTTGGCCCTATATAGTTTGGAAGCTGAGCCTCAAATTTGGTGTGAGCTTCCTAGCAGCCTAAGAAGAGTTTGGAAGCTGAGCCTCAAATTTGGTGTGACCTTCCTAGCAGCCTAAGAAGCATCAGTCATAGCAGGTACTATGGGAGCCTTCTTGATTATGTCTAAATGCGGTATTATTATTATTATGTAAAGACACGTTCTAATGGTAAAGCTTAGCTCACCCAGCACCGGGACTGGCAGAGTCAAAGCTGGGGGGCTGGCTGCTTGACCTATAAAGCTTCACGTGTGAAAGATGAGGAAGGGGATCATCAAACAGAAAAGCCCCGGGGCCTTACGCAGAGCTTTAGAAACAGGTGTTTAGAAACAGGTCAATCATCAAGCTACCAAACACAATTCTAACGCCAGGTCCTGATGTAGTCACACCAACCGTGGAGGCCCCAACCCCAGTAAATTTGTCTGCTGTGTCAATGTCCCAGAAGACAGTACTTGTCTGGAACTTGTGTCTTGCCACCCAGAGAATGCCACCCCTGTACAAGGGGCAGGAGACAGGAGCTGGCTGGATTAGATCCCCAGTACAGGAGCTGATTGGAACTGGAAAGGTGAACATTGCTCTGGAGGTATGCTTCTTTTCAATCTGCATCCCTATTCCTCTACAGTGCTGCTCAGTTACTTCACAGTTCGTGTTATTAAGATAAACGACTCTACTGCTACATAGAACCTGTAGCGATTAAGCGGTTGACAATCCAAGGTTTCCTTCATCACCAAGAATATATTGTTCTTTTATAAATAAATATACATTATACAAAGTTTCAGAAGCTAAACCTAACCACAGGAACAATGACTTCGATGATGATGCCGGTATGTGGTCAGCCACAGGGCACCTATAATGTCACAGCATTATGCATTCTGTTATGTGCTCTGAGGTCTGATATCGTCAGTGCACCAAGCCTATTTAACAAATGCATGAGACTGCTATTTTAACATTAATTTCCCTACTTATGAACTATGAAAATTAGAAAACCCACATTCATGAGTCATTCCTGGAACATTCCTGTTCCTTATCTGACCAAATTATAAGTATATCAAACCTGGAAACTAAATATGCAAAGTTCACATATTAGCACCTTTGGTCTCACTTTAAGCAACTTAGGAAGCTGATACAGAAAAAGCACTAACAAGAAACAAGAAGAGACCTTAGCTACTTAATGCCTAATGGTATCTGAGACTGTCATAGCATGACATAGCCACGTCCTTGTAGGAACTAGCCATGGAAGTCAGGTAATTCTTCTTTTCTACCTACAGTGCTATAGTTCGAATGCTTGTATCCCTCAAAA